CGAAACCCAAACTGAAACCCAAAACACAACAATCATCCCCTCCTCGAAAAAAGCACACCTATACACTGTTTATATTTATACATGCTCGATACCAACATATTTTACAAGGTATGTACATTAGAACATAAGAAAATTCAGAACACGGCACACCAAACTCACACACTACAAGTCCTGAAAATGCACTAACAAAGAAAAAAATGTACACAACTGTTCGGAACAAGAGCTCTACGTCACGTAGTCTTCGAACCGACGCGGCTTCTGCTGCTTCCGCTTATGGCGGGCCCTTTTGGGTGTAGAATCGAGTGTCTCTGCACCTTGGTCACTTCTGCTCTGATGTGACACATCAAGAGCAGTGGAAGATTGTTAAGGCTCTGAATGAGCGTTAAAATTTGCGGTCTCACCAGAGCTCGCAGCATGAGCTTCGGAAGAATTTTGCGGACCGGAGTCCGGTTCAGCGGTATCAGCCGTATTTGAAGGTTCCAAGTGAACCGTATGACTTGGTGTACTTGAACCAGCGGCTCCGCCTCATAACTCTTCCCCCCTTGAAGAAGAAATGTCTGTACATGGAGGCCACATGTAACAGTCTGATGCGTAGTTGAAAGGCGTGGACGGAATGTGATGAGGAAGACCTTTAGGTGTTGAAGGCAAATCCGTATGAAAAATAACAAGGCGCGAAGCATTCCAGATGTTACCATCACTTAAGCGAAAAGAAGTGGGGCTAACCTGGCCCAAGACTTTGTAAGGACCCCGATACTTGGGGCGCTTTCCTGGCACACGAACCTTGACTCGATCGCAAGTGCGAACTTTGGACTGCTTTGCACCTCGACGGGTGTCGACATACTTTTTCATTGCTTGTTGACGAGCAAAAACCCTGGTACGAATTTGATCAGGAGAAGACACTGCTATGTTACGAGGCAAAGAGACTATGTCGAGAGCAACTCGCGGTTGCCTACCGTGGAGAAGTTGAGCAGCAGACACTCCAGTGGTGCCTTGTGGTGTGAACCTGTACGAAGCTAAACATTCAGTCAAGACTTGCTTGAGGGGATGATGCTCTAATTGGGCGATCTGGATATGTTTCTTCAGAACGCGATTAAAACGCTCGATTTGGCCATTTGATTGGGGATAAAAAACTGATGACCTCAAGTGCTGAATTCCTCGTTGGGAAAGAAAAGCCTCGAAATGTTGGGACTGAAACTGTGGACCATTATGCGTAACTATGGCATCAGGAAACCCTTCCCGGCTGAAGATTGAAGACAGAAATTCAATGATGACCTCAGAAGTAACCGTATGTGTGAAACAAATTTCTGGCCATTTGGAATGGTAGTCGATGAGAGAAACAATGAACCGGGCATTTTGCGGAACATTATGCAAAGGACCGATGATGTCCATGCCGAGTTTCTGCCAAGGCCGATCAGGCCACTGGACTGGGTGCAACGGAGAAAATGCAGGTTTGGCAGACTTGTCAGCTGCCTGACATATATGGAAGTTGTAAACTGCATTCTCGACCTGCTTGTCTAAGGCTGGCCACCAGTACCTGTCTCGGAGATTCTGTTTGGTGCGGACAATGCCTGGATGGGTCTCATGGGCAAGCTGTATTAGCTTGTTACGGAAAGAAGCAGGGGGAAGCACGCGTTCATCGCGGAAAAGCAAGTCCTCGACACAAGACAGTTCCTGTCGGACTGCGAAGTAAGGCAAGAATTCAGAAGCAAGAGCACATTTGGAAGGCCATCCTTCACGTAAATATTTGAGAACTTGAGACAAAGTGGAATCTGCAGCTGTAGCTGCCTGAAGCTCAGCTTTAGTAATGCAGGAAGTAACTACTGAAACAACTTCCTCATCCCGCTCTTCAGTAACAGGTATCTGAAGAGGAAGGCGCGACAGTACATCAGCAACCACGTTATTAGAACCCTTACAATATTGAACACTGAAATTATAATACATGAGTTTGGCACACCAACGGGAAATGCGAAAGGGGCGGTGGCCTTCGGATCCTGCAGAAAGAAGAGCAACTAGTGCTTGGTGATCTGTACGTAATGTGAAGTGCCGGCCCCACAAGTAAACATGCCATTTCTCACAGGCAAAAAGACAAGCGAGAGCTTCACGCTCTCCTACTGAATATCTGCGTTCAGCAGGGGTCCATGTACGAGATGCAAAAGCAATAGTGATCAGCTGATCATCTCTGAGTTGTTGAAACACTGCTCCCAGTCCAACATCAGACGCATCCGTCGTGATGACGATGGGAAGCTTCTCATTGAAAATACTAACAGCTGGCTTTGAGGCCAGTATTGACTTAACTTGAATGAAGCTCTGCTCAGCTTCAGCTGACCAGTTAAAAGGCTGTGCTTGACGAAGTAAAGTACGCAGTGGTTCAACATCAGCATAGTGAGGAACAAACTTGGCATAATAACCAACAAGACCGAAAAAATTGCAAGGTTTTAACATCAGTAGGCCGTGGGGCATTGACAATGGCCTGAACTTTAGATTCAACAGGTGTCAAGCCGCAAGAACTGATATTATGTCCTAGAAATTGTAACTCATTCACAGAAAAAATCCACTTGTTATTGAGTTTCATACCACATTCACTGATGCGGTTGAGAACAGTATGCAAGTTAGCATCGTGCTCTTCGCGAGTACGTCCCCACACCCAAATATCATCCAAGTAACATAGGGCGCCATTACAACCCTTAAGAATAATTTACATCAATTTCTGAAACACTGCAGGGGCAGATGCAAGCCCGAAACACACGCGGCGAAACCTAAACAAGCCTTCGTGCGATACAAAGGTGGTTAAGTCTCTACTGCACTCAGAAAGTTCAACTTGGTGATAAGCGGACGCGAGGTCCAGCTTGGAGAAACATACCGCTTCGGAGAGCTGATGAAGCAGTTCTTCAATGTGAGGAAGTGGAAACCCGTCTACGACGATCGCCTTGTTCGGTTCTCTTAAGTCGACGCATAGTCGAAGGGATCCATCTATTTTCTTGATGACGACCAGTGGAGAAACCCAGTAGGAAGCAAAGACAGGCTCGATGATTCCGCTGGCTTGAAGGCGAGACAGTTCCGCAGAGACTTGCTCACGGAGAAGAACAGGAATGCGGCAAAGCTTGGCACGCACAGGGCACACACCTGGTCCACGCATCACTTTATGCACAAAACCCCGCACACAACCCAGTTCACGGGTGAACAGGTGGTGGAATTCAGAAGGAGCGTTGGCCGGAAGATCATCTTGGACGTCGACTTGAGCACACGTCATAGACGCACCGACGACGTTGATGGAGAAAGCCCTAATGGCATCACGTCCCAAAAGTGAGCTGCCATTGGCTGTTACATAAAAAGTAATGGAAGCAGTGCGACTGCAATAGGAGGCCTGAGCTGTAAATTGACCTAAATTATCAATCGTTCCCTTGGAATATGTTTGTAGAACGACGTGTGAAGGCAAAAGCCGAATGTTGGAAAAATGACTGTGAAAGTCAGCGGCACTGATTAAAGAGACTGAGGCACCAGTGTCCACGAGAAATGACAGGGGCACATGGCCCACTGAAACTACGATGCTGGGCTCGGACGTAGTGTGGAGGCCATCCACATTTAAAACAGTAACCGTATTGGTTTGTGCAGTGCTCGAAGGAGAGGACGAAGAAACTTGTTCCGGAAAATTTGCTGGACGGGAATTGCATACGGACTGAAAGTGTCCGATTTTTCCGCACGCAAGACAAGTGCGGTTTCTCACAGGACACTGCGCAAAATTTGCTACATGCCGAGCCGATCCGCAACGAAAGCAATGCGCGGTTGCACTTGAAGAAGAAAATTGCGAACACGAGTTAGGAGCTCGGTGCTGTTCCTGAAAACCAGAATTCGGCGGAATGGGGTCACCATATTGTCGGCTTCCTCGCCCCCGTGATGCAGAGGGGCCGCCATGTTGGCCGCCACGCCGAGACGAAGGGCCGCCATGTTGACGCGTCCCGTGAAACAAAGAGCCGCCGCCTTGGCCCCCCGCAGCAGAAAGTTGCTGCACTGAATGCGGAGCGAATAGCTCCAACTGGGAGCGAATAAGCTCGTCCTCTCGCGCAATCGAGAGGGCTTCGGATAATGAAATCGAGGAGCCCTTTTGAAGCATGCGGCAGCGGACGTTTTGCGAGGCTACCCCGATGAAAAGCTGATGGCGGATCATATCGTCCTCGAGCGCGCCGAAGCCGCACGACGCGGCGAGCGTTCAAAGAGAAGTAATGAACTCAGCGACTGGCTCACCAGGCAATTGTCGCCTTTTTTGGAATTTCACGCGTGCGAGATAATCGCACGAAACATCTTTAAAATGCTCATCGAAAAGAGCAACAGCATCCTTGAAGGCATCGCCCGACGCTGGCGTCGGCGACGCGTTGGTGGCTTCCAAAGTATGGAAGAGCTTTAACCCGGCAGGGCCCAACGCGTTGAGCAGCAGAGCCTTGCGACGCTCGGGCTTGCTGGCGTCCTCCCCGGCCGCGTCTGCGTAGGCCTGAAACACCAACTTCCAGTCCGCCCACGGAAGTGGCGGGTCTCCGGGCGAATGAAGAAATAGGGGAGGTGGAATAGGAGACGCCATTTCAAGCAAGAAGAATGGACAGGTGCAGACGAGAAGAAAATGACGCCAGTACACTGTTTGAAGACGAAGGCAGAGGCGGCGTAGCCGAATGAAGAAATGAAGCGACGCAGCACGCAGTAGCCACCTTGCTGAGAACAAAGAGCGTCTAGGGTTAGCATGAACACGGAGAACGAAATGGGTTCTTACAAGTCCTCGTCGCCATTGCTGTGTTGGATGCAAGCTGGTCCCGACGAAGCAGAAGAAGAACGCGGCCGACGGAGACGTACGCGGCCGGCGGGGACCCGACCAGCCCGAACACGCAGATTGGCGCGCAGCGCCGAAAGAAAGCACAACAACCGCACTCTACGGTTACCCAACACACACTGCCTCTATTTTACAGTCACCTTGAAATCCTAGGTGCCAGAGCGGCACCCCCTGGCATCCTCACATGTCAATCCAAAACCGAAACGGAAACCCAAAACACAACACTCAGCCCAAGCAGCCGTCGGGGCAGTGTCTGCTGATACTCAACCATGACCTCAAGAACATCATTGACAACCGTGTGCCAGGAAACTTCGTCGAGCCCGAAAAAGGCAACGTCACCTACGTCCACGCCGTCATCGTGGGACCCGACAACACGCCGTGCCATGGAGGCTTGTTCCATTTCGTGCTCAAGTTCCCCCTCGACAACCCAGCCTGTCCACCGCAGGTACGCTTCATGACGACAGACGGTGGAAGGGTGCGCTTCAACCGCAAACTGTACAGCAGTGGGCTCGTCTCGCTCAGCATTCCGGGCACTTTTGACGGACCTTCGTGGAACCCGGAGACGACCCTGAAGACGGTGGTGGTATCGATTCAGTCGTTGCTCATCGATGGGACGGGAGTTCGAAACTTGGCTTGAAAAGACAATCAGTTGCGACGCTAAACTGTGCTCCCAGACCTTCAGGGTTGTGAGTTGCCACGCAAACGAGGCTTGCCTTCTCGGAAACTCGTTGTACCCGCAGGACCTGCCAATGGCTGTGATTAAGCACTTCATAGAACATTATGACAAGTACAAAAGTGTAGCCTTGTCCCTACTTGGCGAACACTCCAGCGTGAAGGAATCTCAGCAGTAGGCAGCGCTACTCGAGAGACAGCAAGACTTGCATGGTCATATACTGCAAAACAATCCAACGATGTGGAAAATGTTACAATGCGACTACAATGGCATCATGAACTGCTAGGGCTCATGGAGACGTTTTTGTAGCTTAAAAAAGTTGGCAAACCGTTAATAAACCAGTGGCGTAGCCAGAAAGTATTTATGTGGGATGTGGTAACACCGACCCGACCGGAGAGAGGAGGGTGGAGCGCTGAAGTCTGAACCTCCTCTCTCCTACATTCCGGGTCTCTGTGACGTGACTATCACCGATAGTTCGGGTAGAATGTGTACATGTATATCAAAGTCACGAGACATCCCGCCTCATGCGTATATGCCTGTGAAGAAAGGAGGATTGAATAAATACTAAATGTAAAGTAATCGCTATAAAATGCAGCAAACTACAGGTACATTGCCACCATTTAACGAACTAGACTTCAAAAACGCATCATTGTGACGTGTACTCGACTATTCTTTCAAGTGGATGATGGCTCCGCTCTATGTGGAATGAGATGCGAACGCAACAGGCATCTGCACATTAATAACTGCTTTTCGCTTTCACTTATTTCCTGGGCGATTTTTTTTACGGTCGATGTCTGTGACTGTATGCCTATAGGAATAGTTTTTTTTTAAGCTCTATATGCCAAGCAGCCCTGACGCATTGAAACCTCTTAGTCGACATTTCTTACTTTACTGCATGCGTCCAAGCATGCTTGCAATACGCAATAGGAATTCGTTTTTGTGAGTTATGCAGCACGTTGGCAACTTGATTTCGCACGCGTTATTTTTCGGGTAGAATTTCTCGCAACTTTGCTTCACATTAGGGTTCCCTGTGACTTTTGACAGCAATGAAGCACTCAAATTGTAGAGGTAATGTCATGAAATCTGTTAGGGCAAGGTAATCACTGGTGATAAATGTTTACTTAGTCTCAAACGAAAATGCACGATGGACCAGACTATGCATACTCACCTAGAAATAGTTTGTTCGCTGCATGTTCCTCCCAGTAACCTTATCTACGCGCAAAAACGTATGGTGTTCTGTATTGTTTTTTTCGTAACCCCCGTCGCTCTGCTCCCTGAAACTACAGCGTTGCGGCAAAGAGTCTTCTGTTCTTAGCAAGCGTGCAGCCATCGATTTTTTTACGCCAACATATTCAAAGCTGTACATATATGCATATCGCTGTGCAGTATAGATGTGCCATGTATACACTGTTTTAACTAGTACAAGCATTCATGTTTGCCGCACTTACGCTGGCGTGAAGAAAGGCTGCCTCGTGCCACACAAAATCTTGAGTGATTGGTTCACTAGTGACGAAGGAATGAACTCCGGTTTTGTTTAGAGCATAGTGCACCATAATTGAATTCTCAGAACGCGTGAATTCTGACGACAATTTCACAACAACTGCCAGCGCATGCAACTTGTTCAAATAATTACGCGGTAATGTGCACCATCTCTGCCTGTCGGTTGTCTGTTTCTTGCATTCTGATGCGAGTCGCTGTAATTTCATTGCTAGGTCAGTTCTGTGAGCGCTTTACAATGACGACACCACTTGAAGATGATTTTCCCTTTGTCCCTTTCCTTTTTCCCCATTCTTTTCCTTTCTTTCCTACTTTCTAATCTGCCAATGTTCCCACTGCCGAGGAGTTTTCTGACGTCTAGTCGAACAATATTTCAACTTTGGGTTTGTAAGGCGACTTGGTAGCATACGGGCTGCAAAAAAAAAGCGAGAGAAGTGAGAAACCTTAACATGTCTGCGATGCATAAGGTTGACAATTGCTAAAAGGTATTGTTCCCAAACGTGCACCGTCTGCTAAAAATTCCGGCGACCCTACCCATCAGCATAGCTGAAGCGGAACGCTCTTTTTCATTGCTGATACCACTAAAATTTATACCTGAGAGCTACAACAACAAATGAAAGATTGGTTGGCATCGCTCTTTTGAACATTCACCGTGAAATACAAGTCTGCCCGGAAAAAATAATACAGATATAGTACACCGGGCTTACCGGGATACCGGGCCAACCGTGATAGCGGGATCGAAGTGTACATGTGCAGATACGTACGCGTCCCGTACCGATTAGCATGCGCGCAGCTGCTTTTCAGCTTCAACCTTACCATCTTAGCGTTTGTATACGTAGTGTACGTAAAACAACGCGACGCTCTCAGACGCCCGCTTCGAAGTAAGTTGGCGTGTATAGTTGTAGAAAGATTCACTTTGTTCGCAGCAAACGACTGTTCAAAGTGGTTTCGCTTGCCTTCAATTACCTTTGATGGCTGAGTATTACGAATACGTTAGTGCACTTTTCAAGATAGATTCCTATTTCGAAATCGTGTAGGCCTAACTACAAGATCGATGTAAAGAAATCGGCAACAAATTTTTTTTCGATTTGGTGCATGGTTCTTACTTATTTATTCTCAGTATTACTGAAATAAGCTTCCCAAAATGCTTGGTGCCAAAACACAACCAGACAATCACGCTTTCTTTTCCTTTCCAACTTTCTTAATTCTCAACCATTCGATAGCTGGGGCACGTACACCAGTTAAACGCTATCCCGCTTAATTATAAGACGCTGCCCGCAACGAAAGATTGCTGCACGGTAACATCATTTTCTTAACATTCACTATCACGCTAACGGTAAACCATAACTGCCTATTCTCTCTGTTCTTTACCGGAAACGTAGAGGCGTCTTCAGCTGAAAAGTGTAGTATCAACCATAGGTGCCTGCTCAAACTCAAGGAAAAAAGTTAACTGACGTTGTTCTGGGATTAAAATTTTCCGAACAGCCTTAAAAACATAGTTGTTAATGATCAATTGGATGAGGTTAAAGATTAGAAAACCACAATATGATTATAAGAGATGCCGTAGTGGGGCGCTCCATGAATTTTACTATTTGGGTCTCTATCATGCACCTGTATCAAAGTGCAGGGACTTCGAGCATTCCCGCCTACATCGAAATACGACAAGAATTTGAGTCAGCAATGGAGAACCACAACCGTTGGACCACCATGGCGGGTAGTAAAAAAGACGGTTTTGGTGCAATCAGCACGCGCTACTTTTCGTCCAGCTGTAAGCGCTCAAGTTCAACTGATTGAGATATATTGCTGAAAATCACTCTCACAGCACGGCAAAGTGCTTTCGTTCTCTACCGTTGCCTACTCGTTGCTTTTCGGTGATAGCTTTCACTTGCAGAGGTGGTTCGTGGATATGAAAGGTGTGAACAGCAATGCAACAACCCAAGTTTGCATGTAACAAATCGCGCAAATGTCTGCCAACATATGCGGCATATAATATGACAGGCAATGCGCAGGATAACCTTTGTATCAATCGAAAAAGGTGACCATCAGTATTCCGCTATGCCAAGTGTCTGCAGCACATTGCTTGCACAGATAATATTTCATTTCTTGTAAAAAACTTATGGTTACAATGTGTATCGTTCTTCATTTCACATGATAATATGTTCAGCTATGTTTTTTATTGGGTGCATTTCTTGTTGTGCGTTATGTCGCTAGTTGCAAAAATCGCTCGGTGTACCCCAAAGAGGTTCCTAAATATACACTATATAGAGCGAACTCTAGCGCTAGCATCTATGGGAGCTACTACGCACGGCGCTTCAGCGAGCATGGCAATGATGGGTAGTACACAAATTTATGTAATCTTCGTACTTCTGGCTCCGTGTCTGTTTTTGGGGCTTGGAGCAATTTCCTCAAAAAACAAAAATGAGGAAACGTTCCGTGGTTGCACTTCGCCAGATCATTGTTTTAGGCTTGCCTTTTCCAATCGGGTCACTAAGCTCAAAAGCTTCCGTTCTTTTCTTCGAAGCAAAACCGAAACGCGGCAGTAAACGAAGCCACAAGGCGATTTGAAACCCCAAAGAACGAACACTTGGGAAATACGTATACTACCCACCATCCCCTCGGTTGCTGAACGATCGCAGCGCCAGAGTCTCCGCTAGTTAATTTTAAGAAACTCTGTGGCGTACCTTTCTATAGTCCTGTCAGCATAAATGGACGAAGAGGACGCAAATCAATATATAGTTAGTTAATTTGCCGCATATTTTTTCAGCGTTATGCTCTTTATGCTTGGGCTGTTTGCCAAACCGCTGAACAATAAAACTTGTGGGCACTACAGCTGCCCCTACTACATTTTTCAGTACGATGCTTTACGTTTAGACCACCATATTTTATTTATCTGGTTAAGTAATATGATGAGTATTTTAGTAGAGTAGGCCTTTGTGAGGCTGTGATTGGCCAGCACGTTTGGGTGTGTTGCAACTTCGTCAATAGACAACACTTCAGTGTGCCTTTAGCCCTTAGGGCATAGTAAAGACATGTAATAATATCTCGCATACAAGAATACAAGCTGGCACACAAGCAAAGTTCGGTGGATCAGACGAATATTCCGTCGCACTTGTGTGTGTGTGTCTGTGTGTGTGTGTGTGTGTGTGTGTGTGTGTGTGTGTGTGTGTGTGTGTGTGTGTGTGTGTGTGTGTGTGTGTGTGCGTGCGTGCGTGTGCGTGCGTGTGCGTGCGTGCGTGTGTGTGTGTGTGTGTGTGCGTGTGTGTGTGTGTGTGTGTGTGTGTGTGTGTGTGTGTGTGTGTGTGTGTGTGTGTGTTCACTTGCGTGTGGGTGCGTGGCTGTGTGTTCATAGCAGAACGGGCGATGGTTCAATGGTGAAAGAGAGTTGAATGACGATGGTAGGCTGGGGTACCTTTACATACGTGCATCCATCCTGTCCAGTGGCTTCTGAGAACGCGACCACGGCTCCT